ACGGAAGAATAAAAAAAATAATAAACAATAGAAAAACAATAGGCTCTCGCAGCGCTTAGCTGCTCGGGCCTAATTAAAGCTCCGCGGAGCCTCAAGCGGCCCTCGCAGCCAAGCGCCGCTCAAGCCTATAGCCACCGCGTATGTTCCAGCACCGCCTCCCCTCAGCACCTCCTACCCCCAGCCACCGCCTCCCCTCAGCACCGCCTCCCGCCGGCCACCGCCGACGCTCGCGCGCCGTCCTCCACGCGATCCGCTTTGATGCCTTCGGCAGCGTTCCCTGGCGATCCACCCAAAATCTGGAGCAGATTGGGCCATGTGGCAAGGAGATACAGCTGTTTGATTAACCTAGGGGGCGCAGTGGAGTCAAATTGCAATTAAACTCTATTGGGCTCCTTAGAGGTTCACAAGTGTCACTCATAAAAAGTCTGGTGTAAATCGGATGATGTGTGTGTGAATAAGAGACGATCGTATGCATATGGCGAGGGACAGCCATTTTGCCACGCCCCCACGGGTCAGTAGGCATTGACAGAGTTCATCTTCATGTCATTTTATGTCAGTCTGCAAAGGATGAAACCCATATGAATTAGAGAGTAAAAGTAAGACATACAGTAGAAAAAACAGGTGACTTCCTGTCGGAAGTGGGCGGGGCTAAGGTGATGTCATCAATCGACCACCTAACTGTGATGAGGGCTGGTCTATAATGAGACATAGAAAGTCTGATGCAGCTGTGACCTTGTATGTGCATGTTATGTCACTTTGATGCTTAATGGTGAATAGTCAAAGTTTGGGACTTAGCCACGCCCACATGCTTTGACACACAAAAATTCCTGTGATAACTTCTGACCTTTAATGTCTCAACTCTCTGCTGACTGAGTTTGAAGTCTGTATCTCGAAAGCTGTAGGAGGAGATAGATCAGATGCGACGTCTATGAAAAAGAGGAAATGGCGGATTTTGATCCAAAATGGCCGACTTCCTGTTGGGTTTGCACCATGGCTCCAAGAGACTTTTTTGTAGGTCCTGACATCATATACATGTGTACCAAGTTTCATAATTCTAGGTTAAAGCATGGCTTGGGGCTTATTATTTAAATAATNAAGGTTTCAATAGGCTCTCGCAGCGCTTAGCTGCTCGGGCCTAATAATAATTTACAGCAAGGTTTCAATAGGCTCTCGCAGCGCTTAGCTGCTCGGGCCTAATTATATGCAGCGATCATCTTCATGGATCATTTTTGTTTGTTTGTTTGTTTGTTTGTTTGTTTGTTTTTGTGATTATAAGTAAGTATGGGCCCATTAGTATCATTTGACTGATCAGCTATCTGTAAATGATCTGTAAATGATAGCTCTTCTTCCTAAAGAGATGCCAAGTTATATTAACTTCATCTTTTGTTATATGTGGTGTTGTTAAGTTCAACAGTGACTGTCAAGGTAAATAAAAAGCATATTGTTAGCCTACTGATCGGGACAATTGTGACCCCTGCTGGACCTTTTCAAAAGGTGCCTGGATCATACTCGCCTCCTGTGCAGAGGCGCGTAAAATCATGTTAACTCGTCCAGAATACTGCCTATCAGGTAGTGTGGCACCAAATATGTTGCATTGTATTTAGCTCATGTTCTTAGATATAGATGAAGAATGCAATAGACGATAATTAATTCGGCATATACCAAGTTATTATCAGGGGGCGTCACTGTTACAATTGCCTGAGTTTCGCTTCCTGACAGTCCAGACTCGGGGCTTACTAACTCATGTTAGTAGGTCACAGTCGCAGCTGCTCCTTCTGCTGTCTAGCAGAAACTGAGGGGTAAACTCTCAAATGGGCGCAGGCTAGTTAGCGAGGCAGGTGGGTGCCTAGTCAGCTGTATGGCAGGAGAAAAGCTTATTTTAAATATTGAGAGCTAATGTTATCATGTACAAACTCTAAGGTTAGCAACGGCTAATGAAAGTATTTCGGTCCTTGTTTGTTTTTATTTATTTATTAGCTAAGTCTAGCTAACGCGGAAGGCGTCTTCCTTCAGTGTAACCAATGGTTTTGGTAACGGGTTTAATGCGCTGCACCTTTTAGAAAGCATTTCCTGCAGATTTGAGGATGTCTAAACGCCTGCGAAACACTGAGTTGTGCGCCGATTGCTGTGGTCCAGGTAAGATCATTCACACTGAGGGGTTTACTTGCATTTAATATTATTAATCTGCTGACTTTTGGTTACTAATCCTTGATCAGATTATACCTGCCGCCCCGCTGTGCTGTCTTCTGCTTAGTAGTTCCTGCCTGCTTTTTACACAGACTATTGATGTGTGTAATTGTATCATAGCAAATGGCACTGCCAGATTTTCCCATCTAATTTTGAATTTTAGCATGTTATAAAGTTTTAGTCGTCAGTGCCATGCTTGCTCTTTCAGTGTAATGTGAGGTTCTCGCCTGCTTTCAAATTTATAAGTCACCGAGTAAGGTTCTGTGCAATTCCCCAATCTTTGAAGAACTCTAATTACGCCCTTTTAAAACGGATTTATAAAATTATTTACAGCAAATAAAAAGGAAACTATAGAACTCTTCCGACCCCAAAACAAACAAAGCAACAAAAATAACTTTAAAAGGGATGCAAGTATTTTTCATTTTTATAATTGTGTACAAAGGAGCATTTATGATATTATGAATTTTTGTTAAAATTCATTGAATATATAATAAATGTGTCATCACAGGCTGAAGTTGCAGCACTAAAAGCTAAGCCAGCAACATATATTATTACCAGTAGCAGAAGTGGTAACCATTTAACAAATTATAACTTCCCTTTGTTAAACAGTGCAATCTTTAGTTCAGACACAGTGCATCCAGCATTCAAACGGCAAAGAAGATACTGTAAGTTCTTTTGATCAGCTTAAAAATATGATTTTTTTTTTAAGTTTAGATGGCAGTTTATGTTTATTTATTCATAAGATTTGAAGGAAGGTCTTCTATTGTGACACAAGCAGAAACCCTCATATCATCTTGGTTCTGCCTATTGAATACAACCAGAACTTTGGCTGCAGTGGTTTTGGTCCAAGAAATCACAGAAGATGGCAGCAGTTACTTTGCATACCTGGCAACCTAACAACTAATGCTAGGCTGGGAGCAAATACTTCTTTAAAAACAGCTTCCTTGTCTAAATTTAAGTCTAAATAAGGCTATTTTTCACACTTGATGCATTTTAGTAAATAATAAATCACAGAAGATGGCAGCAGTTACTTTGCATACTTGGCAGCCTAGCAGCTAATGCTAGGCAAATACTTCTTTAAAAATGCTTCCTTGTCTAAATATTTAAGTCTATTTTTCACACTTGGTGCATTTTGGTAAATAAGCAATCACAGTTTTACTGAGCATCTAAGATTCCACATTTGGTGGACAATATTTGACTTACCTTTTGGTATTTTTTTTGTCATGGTATTCATTAAAAGTGGTAATAGTTTTATCCCTAGCTTGAACCTAATTACTCCTTAGTAAAGCTTATTTCTCTCTGTGGCAATAAATCTCATTACAGCGTAATGGGCTGATCAAGGTACACAATGGTTTAAAAGTCACTGCTTCAAAATTGCTAAAAGTAAAATCACAAAATGTGTCTGAGGTTGGACTAAATATCAGTTAGCTGACCTGTAACACCACTAACAGTCTCTTTGTTTATCCTTCATTTAGTCTTGCGTGTAGAATAAGATATTTTTACCATTAAAAACAACAAATATGGGTAAATATTGAAGGTAATTCATGGAGTTAGTATTTAAACTCCTTCTTTAAACCTTCTTTTTGGATTAGGGTTAGTTGATGACATCAACCTACAGACAAATTGGCTGATTCAATACATTTTCCTCTTCTTTTGGGAAATTAAAAACAGTAAAGCTCTACATTTTAGACATGGTATATTGATCTGAAAAATACCATCCAATCAAAAAAAAAAAAAATCCTATTAAGTATTTTTAATCAAGATTTCATTCAATGAGACTCTCAAACCAACTACAGTCCAACATGAGATGAATGGCATCTTTTTGTTGAAGTAAATTATAGGCCTGGGAGAAACTTGGAGTGAGCTTTCACACTCTAATGGGCCTGCGAAAGCGGAACAAATAATGACTGCATTGTGTCTCGGATACTTTTCAAAACTTCCATTCGAAGGCAAAAGAAGTGACGTGATGTTTTTCAGTAGTCACAGGAAGCAAAACAGGATGCAAAGCGCGTTGACTGCTGTTCTTGCCGAACAATTCTTTTATTGTTATAATGCGTTTGATTTACTGGAAGAAAATCAAACGCATAGCTTCACTTTCTTCAGAAACAAAAAAAATTAACCAACTATCTTTTCCTCTTTATCGGTAAATGAGAAAGTTTGCGAAGTATGCAGGACCTCGTCCGTCATCTTGTCACTCGGATTAGTTAACCCTGGGGGTTTCTCAGCAGCTGCCCCAGCATATGGCTGGCACCGGTTGTTGAGTGTTAATATTTTTAGAGTTTCAGGATGCGGCATTAAGTTTAGAGGTTCTTGTTGAGAAAAGCATGGAGGAGGCATGTCAGCAAGTCCCAGCAGAGGGGTTATTAAATGGAGAAAAAGAGAGACCCAGGAGACAGAATCCGACCGCCAACCCCAGCAGCTGTTGCTCCTGCACATCAGCTGCTGCTTAGACATTTACAGTCCTCAGTGTCTGCCCTCTCACAAAGCCATGTCTGATAGTTTAGACCTCGGAAGGATCTTACGAGTTTATTTGGTTTTTTAACTCCTGTTTTGGTGTCAGAAAGTTTCTCTGCAGGATAAAGACAGCAGTCAGCAGTGGAGCAAACTGTGTTACATCCTCTCTGTTTCTGTTTGCAGCACCATGCATAGCTTTCACATGTGGCTCATTTCTATTTCTCATTTCTCTTCTGCCTGAACACAGCAGCGAAAGAGGAAGCTGCTCTGTCAGAAGGTGCTTCCACCTCTAACTGCTGGTCCTCACTTCCTTTTTAGAAACTTTTTACACACTGCACAGCCTCACTTTGACATGCAATTAAAGCAGCTTTAAGGGACTATTGCAACAATACGGAATTGACCTGTGTATCTTATTTTTTTTCCTTCGGTTGCATTTGCATTCAAACGTTCTTAGATGTAATTTTAATACGGTAGCAGATTGATGAATATTTGAGATTTTAAACGGAGACAGACATCTTAAGAAAAGTTTAAGAAATTAATTTGCAAAACATAAAAATGTAATACCTTTAATTTGTTTCACAAACAGAGATATATATTAGTTATTTTAATTATAGCCTATAGTAAGTTAAACCCAAACTTCAGCTCCTCAAAAAGTCGCAATATTATACAAGACCGGTTAAAAAAAAACTACATCCCTTGGTCATGGCTCTTTTTGCATGAAATACTTCATCAGAGCAGTATGTGGTGGACTAGGCATGAGGCATTGATGAGGTTCAAAGTAAACCTGGCTTTCTTAATGCCAGCCTTAAAATGGTCTGCTTTCAGGTTTCTGGTTCAGCAGTGACTTAAATCAACCATTTCCTTTCACTCTATCTTTCAACATTATACTTGTGGGGGGGGGACACACTGAGCAGCCTCTTCTTTAGCAGTGACCTTTTGTTTCAGCCATTACTATCTGCTAGACAACTGTCAGGTTAGCAGACCTCCTTATGATTATGTATGTGTTTACACTTCTTAAACATAACAATTCTGTGTGAGCTGTAAGACATTCCTTTTTGTGTAGTGACTCTAACCTTATAGCACAAAATATGGGGTTTGTGTTTGTGGTATGCACCTTGGTGGAAAAAAAAAAGTACATTGTTTAAAGCCTGTATGTTTTCCTTAATGGCTTTGCAAGATGCACCCAATCATCTCTGCCTGTTTGAAAGTAATTGGCATTTATCAATCTGTGAAGGGTTGCAAAGTTATTTCTAAGACTTTGGGATGCCAGTAAACCAAAGTCCATGATCTACAACTGGAGAAAAAAAATGCAGCAGTAGTGAATCTTCCCAGTAGAGGCCAGTCAATCAAAATTACTCCAAGTACACATCAAATATTCAACCAGGATGTCCCACAACAACCCAGAATAACATCTAAGGTACTGTAGGCCTCACACCTGCATCATTTAAAGTTCAAGATTTAGAAACAGGAGGAGAGTTACCGGGCATAAATGGCCTCCATATGAGAGCTGCAGCGACAAAAGCACCGAGCAGAAGGAACAAAAAATCCCCAGCTTAAACTCCCCCCCCAAAAAAGATCTTGATAACGAGTGTGATGTCACATTTGACTGAAACCCAACACAGCACTTTAGAATCTAACCATCTTACTGACAGTCAAAAATGGTGGCGGTAGTGTGATGGTTTAGGTCTGATTTTGACCTTATCTTCCTGTCTTCCAGAGCCTCGCTGGGCCTCCGTGAACAGGGGAGTGCTGATTTGCGACGAGTGCTGCAGCGTTCATCGGGGTCTCGGCAGGCACAGCTCCCAAGTCCGTCACCTGACTCATTCCACATGGCCTCCAACACAGCTTCAGGTTAATGACCCCCCCCCCCACAGAGAGATGATTCTGATTTACGTTCTTCTTTGCTCGTAGTACCGTTCGGCACGCTGTGAAAGTGTCTTCTCTAGAGGCCGAGCAGGCCTGGGATGCCTTGACGTTACACAGCACATATCTTTGTAGTTGTACTTGTCATTGGATGGGACGCATTTTAAACAATCGCATTTTAAACAATCGTCTGTTTTACTCCGTCCAGATGGTGCAGACATTATACAGCAATGGTGCAAATTCAATATGGGAGCACTCCCTTCTGGACCCTGCATCTGTGATGAGTGGAAAACGTAAGGCCAATCCTCAGGACAAACTTCAGTAAGAGCTTTTGTTGTGTTTTTCAGTCTTTATTTGTGGAGCATCTGCGCTGTGGGGGCTCAACTTACCACTTGGCCAATTAGTTCCCCTATTTTTTACCCTTATGTTAAACTCCCTGCATCCGTTTCATAGCCCTGCACTTAACTGATGTAATATTTAGTTAGATATCGCATTTCGAGAGCCATGTATTCACATTCTGCATGCCAATAATATTTTTGGCCAGTTGGTTGGTCTGCAGCGGCCCCATGATGCTCACCATATGTGATGCTAAAGCTTGCAGAACACACTGAGAAAAAATTGTAACGACGGGGAAAGAACAAGTGTAAGGAAACTGATCAAAACTGATGTAGATGTTGCTATATTCAGCTATGATATTGTGTCCATATGTTTATCTGCTATCATGCATGACTTATTTAATCTGTATTAGTATGATTAACGAACGTGCATATCTGTGCAGCCGACCAAATGCTCTTTGCTCACACTTAATTGTGGAGATTTTGTGGAGATCTAAACAAATTAAATTTAAAGTGGACATATAGTAGTTTCAAATCCTTAATTTTCACATTTAAGCCATTCAGTGGTGGCCTATTTAAAGTGGCATTAAATTATATTTAAAGTTTTTAGATTCTGTTATATATAACTTTTCCCATTTCAGTGTCATGGTAGTTGATGTTAAGAATATTCTGACTGTCTTATAAGGCAGGTACAAAATAATCACAACTTTTAAGGGTAGTACATTTCAACGAGGTGAAATTACCTGCACAAACACAGGAGATAACAAAATTCAGTATGCTTGGCAAAAAAAAAATGAAAAGATCAATATTGAGATGAATAGCAAACGTCCCTGAATTTAAGATGTGTTTTTTTTTTTTTTTTTAATTGATCTCCATGGATTGAATTCATGATGTTAATCATAAAAATATCGATGAGAAAAAAAAAGATTGCTGTTTACTCATTCATTTCATGTTTCTGTTTCAAAAGCCCAAACAAATCAGAGTTTATTAGAGCCAAATATCAAATGCTGGCATTCGTCCATCGCATGCCGTGCCGTGACGACGACAGCTCTACAGCAAAGGATTTAAGCAAGGTAAGAAGAAATAGATGGGGAACAACGTTGCATTTAAAATACTCTTTAGCAAATCTAACAGGTTCAATTCATACAAAACAATTTTTTAGTTTATTACTTTGCTTTTTAGAGTTAATGAGCTTCTATTTAGTGAACCGTGACTTTTTGTTTCCTTGGCGTATAAATATAACCTGGCGCAGGATTAGATGTCATAACCGTAAAGACAAAGGGACGTACTATTAAAGTAAGGCAGTCGTCTGTTGCTCTTCATAGGATTACTCTGTATTTGGTTAGAACAAACATTTTGACAAAAACTTTGACAAAGAAGTCTGAACCATGTCTTGCCTCCACCTTCAGCGGGGGCGATGGTAAGAGAGGAACTGCAGCAAATCATGGGGGTTGCTGAAGCAACAATTTTATTTTAAGGTTTTTGCTCAGATATTTATTGCAGGATGCAAGAATAATGTAGTACTTAGATTTGTTTTTTCACAGCATCAGCTGATTCTTTAGCTTGTTGCGTCTTCATAATGTTTGTCAATTACTTTTCAGCAACTTCATTCGAGTGTGCGCACAGGAAATCTCGAGACTTGTTTGAGGCTGCTGTCTCTGGGAGCACAAGCTAATTTTTTCCATCCAGTAAGATTTGGTTTTTCATTTTAATACTTTGATTAAATTTTTTATGTTTTTTTTTATTTTTGTGTGTGTTGATTCTTCTCTCGGCGTTGCTGATAATTGATGCGTCTCTTCCAGGACAAAGGAAACACTCCTTTGCATGTAGCTGCAAAGGCAGGCCAAGTATCTCAGGCTGAACTGCTGACTGTGTATGGGGCTGATCCTGGAGCTCTAGACAGCAATGGCAAAACTCCCATTGACCATGCAAGGTATAGCCTCTCATTATTAACAGTTCATGTTTTTTAGTCTTTCATGACATTTCTGGATCTACGCATCTTTAACTATTTGTGTTACTGCTGTGTTTTTTCAGAGAGGTTGGTCACTATGACCTGGCAGACAGGCTGGTGGAGATTCAGTATGAGCTCACTGATCGACTGGCGTTTTATTTATGTGGCAGAAAACCGGGTAAGCAGTGACAGAGAGTCATTTGTGATTTGTGCTTAATTGGTCTGTGCATGTTTTGGTAATTATGTTTCCTCATCTGAAACCAGTAATGAAAGTAGTGAGGGATTATACAACACAGGTTGTGATTTTCTTTCCTTCCAGGCTCTGTTCAGACTTGCTGTACTTCATTTCTTGTTTGATTTTGACAAATATTTAAGAAATAAAGCGTGAAAGGGGGGAGATAAAAAAGCAAGCACAAGGCAGCTGAGCATGCAGCTAAAAGATGCTAAAGAGTGATGATGTTATGTTTGGAACGCTGAACTAAGGCCTCAATGCATAACACAATGTCCATGCCAGGCAGTAGTGATAACCGAGTCCAGTTATTAATCAATGGCAACTCCAGACAGATGGCTTTTTAGCCTTGATTTAAAAGAACTCAGTGTTTCAGGATTTTTGCTGTTTTCTGTAAGTTTTATTCCAGATTAGTGGAGAATAAAAACTGAAAGCTGTCTCGGCTACATGCTTTACACATGCAGTAAATGTACACACTGCAAATTTCATCACAAAAAGAGAGAAAAACAGCATTATTTCTGTTAATATGGTGTATTTTTATAACATAAAACAAACAACCATTTATTTTCTTTAACTACTCATCTGATCATAAAATTCAACAGCCAAAACATGCGGGGGCAGACTCCATCTGAAATTATTGTTAGTAATGGTTATGCCAAATAAATCCACAACTCTCCTCTTGATCCATGTAGATCATAAAAATGGTGAGCACTTCGTCATTCCCCAGATGGCTGACAGGTACGTTCCATTCATCTTAAGGGTCTTGTCTTTAGTTTACCATCAGTCAGGCACGTTTTCATGCCTGTGTCGCTCTCTCTCTCTTCCCACCTTCCACTAACTCAGTGTTTGCTTTGTTTAATCTAGTTTAGAGGAAGCAGATCCACTCAAGTTACAGTTTTAGCAAATAATTCAGTTGTTCTGACTGTAAATGTATGCTCTAATTTCACTTCAGTCTGAAAACTGCTCTGCAGAACACTGTGCTTTTTAAATTACATATTTGAACTTTTTCACTTGCTCTCTTTTGATGGAGCAGAAATGTGTAAGTATAACTTGGTTAAACAGAAAAACTGGGTGAAATTCATCTGCATGTAATTGTAAAAGTTACCTTTTCTCTTTGTAGAAGTCCAGATCTAACAGAACTTGCAAAAGCCGCAAAGAGAAAACTGCAGTCAGTGAGTACTTATCTTGCCCTTGGAGGTTTTTATTCATTCAGCCTCCTTAAAGCTAAATGTGCTTTTCTTACCTTTATTCAGCTCAGCAATCATTTATTTGAGGAGTTGGCCATGGACGTGTATGATGAAGTGGACAGACGAGAGACAGATGCAGGTAAAGGACAAATAAGTGTCTTTTGATTTGAGAAGCTGTCTCGCGTTGCATTTCATCAAAGTGCCATTTTTCTTTTTTGACCAGCTTGCAATAAGGTGCAGCTTTGCTCACCTCTGTCATCTGTATGTCATTGCTTGCAGTGTGGTTGGCAACACAGAATCACAGCACGTTGGTGTCGGAGACGACTCTGGTTCCTTTCCTTCCTGTAAATCCAGAGTATTCATCAACAAGAAACCAGGTGAGTTGGCTTCACAGACGCCTCTGCAGGTTTCTGCTGCAGGTTCTGCTTTTTACTGAAAATTAAATTTTGGTACAGTTGTTTGACTGGTTTTTTTTATTTTTTTTTTTTTTTAAGGGGCCTTTTTTTTAATTTTTCTTAATTCTATTGATTCACCATATTTAAAATTCTAATCTTTACTTTGTATAATTTTAATCTGCTTGATTTTATTATTATTATTTTTTTCTTATTGTATGTTGTTTTTAACTTTTTTTTTGCACAAGCACTTTGAATTGTCTCCGGCTGAAAGGTGCTACATAAATAAAGTTGCCTTGCTTTGCCTTGCCTTTAGGGACGACAGAAGCTCGCAAGGTTCAACGCACATGAATTTGCAACTCTAGTCATTGATATTTTAAGTGACGCCAAACGCAGACAACAAGGGAATTCTGTCGGCAGTCCGAAAGGTCTGTATCCTCCTGTCGCTTTTATCCAGAGCTCTGCTGACATTAATGTAAACTACAAAAGTTCTCAGACTGGCCTGAACATCATAACATTTTATGACGTTACAATTACAACTAAGGCAATTACAATTTAATTTCAGCGTCGCGAAAAACATAGCAGACAGGCGAGGGATGGAGTCATGAACAAGTTTGATGGAGAAGTAGGTTGTAAAACGAAATCCCAAGCTTTGGTAATCTCACAGATTACCAAAACCAACACACTGTTCAAGGAGAGCCATCGGAGAAGCAGTGGGGGGCCTGTGGTAACTCTGAGCAGGAGAGATGCCCAACGTATCTGCGATATTAGTTGTACATTTCTTAAACCTGGTCAATGTGGATAAGTGATAACATGGCAATCTGGGTAGGTTAGAAATTAACCCTTTTATTTTTATTTTTTTTTGCCTACATGCAAAATGTTTTGTTTGAAAAATTAGCACTTCACATCCCACTGAACACATTCTCCACCATAAAACATAGTGGTAGCCGTATTATGCTGCGCTCCGTCATTCATGATTTCTTTCAGCTGCTATATTGACTATTAGTATTTATTATTGAGTTAGTAAAATAAAAACTTAAATGAATTGCCCATCTGTTGCCAGACTTAAAGTTTGAGGTTCACAGATGCCTCTCCGTCCAATCTGACTGAACTTGGAACTATTCTGTGCAGAAACAATGGGCTAAAGGTTTAGCCTCATGACGTGCAAAGCTGGGAGAAACAAACCCGTAGTGACCTGCAGATGTTTCAGTCAAGTACTGCGTGAGGGGTGCGAATACCATCAAATATTTACAACTGTTCTGGTCAAACTCCAGAAGCAAATATATTGAAGGTTGTGGTTGTAGGATGACAAAATGTGGGAAAGTTCAAGGGAACACTGAATACTTTTGTAAGCTGCTGTGTCAATCGGACCGACACTAACCACGCCATTTTGATCCCGTTTATTCCAGACAATGTTGAACTCATATTAAAGGGCGTGGCTGTCAGACACAGCAGTGATTATGACAGCGTGGCTTCAGATGAAGACACAGATCAAGAGCTCCCTTCGAGCAAAGGAGACAGAACCAAGGTATTTGACCACTGAGTGAGGACACATGCTCCCTGCTGGTGGGTTTGTCTTTAACCAGTTTCCTCAACAGAGCCTGGACTCTGACATTTCTGACGGCCCTGTAACTATGCACGAATACATGGAGGTGAAAAATGCGCTCACTGCCTCCGAAGCCAAGATCCAGCAGCTCTTGAAAGCCAACGACGATCTGAGCGACGAGCTGAGGCTGATGCAGAAAAAGGTATCCCCCGCACTGCATCAATGAGATCACTAACCCCCGGGGGATCGCTGACTGGGAGGGTGGGGGAAGTTTGTGGAGACGCAGAGCGGCTTCTGGAGCGCAGTGTGAGCGCTCCCTGGTGTCGGAGGTTATGAACTGATCAGAGCCAGTGAGATTGGATCGAATCAGCTTTCTTTTTGACCAGCATGTTTCAGAATCTTAATAAAAAAAAACCTCATATTTGTTTTTTCTCCTTGTTTTTCATTTTTTATTCTTTTTTGTTTGGTTGACTTTCAGAAAAAGCAAAGCATCTTTTTTTTTTTTTTCATTTAATAACGGATTATATTTTTATTGTGTTATCAGTTGGAATGAATGTTATGGCATCTAATGTTACTAACAAGCATGTTGTAAAAAAAAAAAGCATGACATAATTTACCCTGGATTTTAACGTTTTATGACACAATAGTGACTAACGAACCGTGTATGTTTGTGTGTGTGTGTATGTTGCTTTACCACACGTTCTGTTTTTATATTTCAAAATGTTGGAAATGTTGTTTTAGTTGTGTTTTCTAACTAGTTACATTGGACTGAAAGATACTGGTCAAACAAACTTGGAACCCTGTTGCTCTGGTCTTTAATCTGTGTGATTAAATCACACAGAAAATGATCCACTGGCATGTGGAGCCACGCCTGTCTTGATTTGCACAGACAAGAAATGCATCCTATTTGCTCTCATGTTGCACATGTTTTGTGCAGTTTAGATTCTCAACATGTGTTTTCTAGAACCTGTTTTTTTTTTTGTTTTGTTTTGTTTTTTTTAAGTCTTGTCAATGGACCCTTTAGGATAAACATATGCCTCTCAGTAAATTAGAATATTTTGAAAGGTTAATTTATTTTAGTTAATTAGTTAAAATAGAGAATCACATATTTTAAAGATGAATTGCACACAGACATATTTCAAACTTTGAAATGACGTGTACCTGTACTTAGGCTTCGTTTTTTGTGGATGGTAGCAGTTCGGTGTCCACATTTAGATAAATGACTGTCAATGCAAACCAGTCAATACTTATAACTTGTTTTATTTTGACATGTAATGTGGCCGCGACCCGTTCTTTTTTTTCATATCGTAAACATATCAGCTCCCTGAACTTAAATCAGAGACTTTATCCTCCTTTCTCCTACCAAATCCTTCCTTCCCTCTTTTTGTCGAATGCCAGTTGCTACATTGATTTTGGGGCCAGGTTTTGCTTCTCTTCTCTTTTTTTATGGTTCTTGAGTCTGTTCTGTAGCTGCATCTTTGTGCAACAGTCTCTTGCTTGCTTATAACTTGCTTTGCATTTTGGGACCAAGATTAAGTCCTTTTTAAAAATGACGTCCAGGGAATATGGCAGACATGTCTGCATGAATTTGATCTCACAGTAGTTGGTAACTTTTGGATGCTAACATTATTTAAACTAAATCTGAAGCTCCAACGATATTTCTAAATTTAGTTTTATGCAACGGAGTAGATTAGTCTTATGGAAATCTAGATTTTTTAAAAAACGTTTTGTCATGAAAGCGGCTTCAGATTTGTTTGTGTGTTTAAAATTCTTAATATCGACAAAGATCTACTAAATTAGTGCCACATTAAAGAGTCGCCAGGATCGAAGTTAAGTTAAAATGTATAGAAATTGTAGGATAAAATCAGTTATGGTAAGCTTCACAGAGCTAACAGGGACCCAAGCTTGCCTTGCTGAGAGCGCCTCTTAGTGTACTGCTGACCGTCTCTTCCAGCTGCAATCTCTGCAAAGCGAGAACACCTCTCTCAGGCGGCAGGTCACAACAAATGTCTATCAGACCCCCAGCGGTACAGACTACCCTGACCCGTCCAGCCCCTCAGCCCTGAAACGCCGGCAGTCTGCGCGGGCCAGTCGGCCCATGTCAATGTATGAGACCGGCTCGGGCCTGAAGCCCTATCTTTCCAAAGGGGAAACTCCTTACCCAGAGGAGGGTCTCCCCAGCCTGCAACCCTTTCCACCTCATGTAAGTAAGACCCGCTCCCCGCAGCTTCCTCTGCACTGCTCACTTCTGTTGTCTTTCCCCCCTCATTTCTTCACCCTGTCTGCCGTCGTGTCGCTCTGCCCTTGTTTTTTTTATTTGATTTATTTGACTTGCCACAGGGTGTTTAGCTGTATCGAAGACTGAGATTCATTGAAAATGTCATTGCCACACATTTGTCTCGTTTCACCGTGTCCAGTTCAGAATCATGTCTACGTTGTCTCGGTTTACTGGATTGCTGCTTTATTTGGACAAACTGTATTTGTGGAAGCGAGTTGATTAGCTTTGGATTTTTGTACTGTTTTATGTTGACGTGCATTAAAGTCACCGTGTAAACTCTGTGTTTTGTAATGCATGACGCTCCTACACACACACGCACATTTCATCTGTTTTCATTTTCAATTTCAACAAGACATGGTTAAATTTGAGACCCCGCTTATAGTAAATGTACCTCTACCCTCTTGGTTTGTTTTGAGTTCATGCAGTTGATACAGGATATTTGGAAATAACTTCACAATTACAATCAATTCCTCATTTAAACCAATATATTTCATGTTCATAGGTTCTTCACCTTTTGCTCAGCCATTTTGTCATAATTACCAGTAGATTTATTCTGCCTGGGGAAGAGATCCATCTCCATTCATATTTTTTTTTTTACCTCACACTTTTTCATTGAAATATGATTTAACCTCTGTCTTTAGACAGAAAGGGGTGCATTTGTGACCTCTTCATCCCTTCCCTCATTTCCATCCACCCTGTCTTGGTCCAAGGACGACACTCCTCAAACGGTTAAGTACATTTGCGCTCGGCCTGCATCCTTGTGGGACACGGCAGATCCACTTGGAGCCTTCTCTCTCTGTCCCTCCTTCATAAGCTTCCTGTGCTCTCCTGCCATTTATCTGCCCTGCTGCATGAGCCGAACCTCCCACCGGCTGCCGTCACCAGCATCATCCTCAGCGCACCGTTAACCAGTGGGAAGGCAGAGTGTTTTGCTGTGCCTTGCAAAAGCATTCATTCCCCTTGAACTCGCTTACATTTGGTCACGTTAGAATTTACAGAGTCTTACAGACTCTGTGGGAAAGACCAACACAAATTAGTAAAGATATAGTTTGCAAATAAAATTGGAAAAGCGTGCAATGCAATCCGTATTCAGTATGTCTTATGTTGGTATCGTTTGTAAAATAGTATTTTTGGGTAAGGCAGCATCTGTTTTGCTTTTCTCAGGCTGACTGGAGGGCATCGGTAAACATACATTTTTATTTTTTTTAAAACAGATTCTCACAGATTTAAGACAGGGCTTTGACTAAACCATTTTATCAAAGCTCTGATTTGATGTTTTCCTTGAAGGTGAATCTCTGACCAGCTTACCTGGCACTGCTGAAGTATCTGCACAGCACGATTTGGCCGTCAATATGTTTCATCTGCGGGATTCGTGTTTCAAAACACAGAGTGTTTAGCATGTTGGTCAACATTTCGCCACTAATTTGGCGAAATAAAAAAGTCCAAGGTGTGTGAATTCTTTTGTAATCAAGTCAAAAGCTGATTGACCTGCTGAACCTTGAATTGAAAGGTGAACTGAAACAGCTGATTTTTTGAACATCACATTTCTACACTTTGAACACTAAGGTAAAAAGGAAGGAAATTGCACATTTTGTGAAATCTTAATTAGATTTTTTTTACTTAGTTTAATTTTGTCCTGTAGGTGATAAGTTTTGCAAGAAAAGAGAGAAAAATCTCACATCTGTAGCTGCCAAATGTTGTGATCCAGACAGGTTTATTTGAGAAGATGAGTCAGTGACCAAGGCAGAACAGACATTTTTGTTATGTCTGAATGCAAGAGAATTTCCTGAGGCGAGTTATTTGGTCTGCATTCTGATTCAGATTTAGATCTGGATTCGCTGAGAATATGGAGACCTGCTGTTTGTGAAAATGTTAAGCAGGCTTCCCAGACATGACTGTACTCGTACGTCTAAGCACTTCTGGAGTCTAAAGTTTAAGAAATTCCTTTAAAATCTGGTGCAAAGACGAGCTTTCCTGCAGTAAAATGTTTTGTTAAACATTAAGTGGTGTTTTTCTCTGCCATCAATTTTATTGTCAGTATGAGATTTTTGTTTTTTCTACACATGAATAACTACCAGTAGCTTTTTCTTTGAATAGTTTCACCTTCAACTTGGGAATCCACAAGCTCCCACACACTTATGATGTTGCTAAAGCACAGATATGGCTTCACTCTGATTTGAACAAAACTTCTGAACTTTGTAAATTTTTCCTTGCCTGTATTGCTCTAGTTTGATGCTCTGGCTTCAAAGCTTTGCTGGCCTGTTTTATTCAGCTCTGCTTTTCAATCTGAATGAATTGAACACATTCAGCAAGCAGAGGTTTTACATTAAGAATATTTAATTTATTACTGAATATAGTATAGTCTGTAGTATGTTGTTTATTTTTACTGGAAACTCTCTCTCCAGACGTCAAAGCTGGAAAAGCAAAGCAGCGTGCCAGAAAGCGACTATGACAACACCTTCAATGACTCCGAGATGGATGATTCTGGGTAAGATGATATATATGCCAGCAAATCGGAAGTTCTGCACCTTTTATGTTTTGTACACTTGAATAATTTGAAAACTTTTAAGCGTTGCTCTTCTTTTTACTCTTTTTGACTTTCCCCTTTGCAGCTTTGGCAGGAGAGGGAGGATGAGGAGCAGCGGGTGGCTTGGAGAGGGCAACTCCATCCCAGAGCTGGAGGATCTGCAGACGGAGTCGGACCCCACGCTGCCAAGCACGGAGGACGTCATCCGCAAAACGGAGCAGATCACCAAGAACATCCAGGAGCTCCTGCGAGCTGCTCAGGACAATAAACATGACAGGTCAGACTGAAGGAGAGCGTGTCTTATTTTCAGCCTTCTTGTCCTTTCCTCCATTTCAAACCCTCCTCCATTGATCATTTTTCAGTTGGTTTGTTATTTTTTGATGCCTTTTGTCCACTTTTCCCTGCCAATATTTCCCCTTCTCATTCCTGCCTCCACCCGCGCTGTCCTGTTGCGATACTCTTTGGCTTCCCCCATCCTTCGCCGCTTGTAGACCGTGTGAGCGTGAGGGAGTCCGACGACTCCGTCACAGCCTGGGATGTTTCAGCACCCTGGTGCCATGGGCTGAGAAGGCCTCCTCCCCCCTCCAGCCTCTCAGCCTGCGGTCCCCCGACCCCACCTCCTGGTACTCTGGCCTCTGTCCCTGCCTCCCAGGCACAGTTTTATTTTCCTCTTTCCTCTATTTCCTCTGCTGACTCTCACCTGCTAATAAGCTCTGCTTTTTTTT